TGATTAAACATTACAATAAAGATATTTCTTTGTAATCTTTCAGAAATGTTTCAGAAATGTTTGATTTATCTATAACATCATTGCGGAGAATCTGTTAAAATAATTTAAAAATATCATTCAAAAATTAATGTAATCTATCAAAACAGAGTATCTGCTGTCATCTTTCTATGATGCATAGTAATCCAGATTTTAAAGCTTTACTAGCCTTTGGTTGTCCTTTATTAAACTTCCAGAAGTAAAACTGAGCAATGATTACTTTTACTACACCATCAATACTATTTTTAAGACCACGTGTAACCAGATTCCCTAAAACTGAAACTGTGATTCATTTACAAAGAACAATGTAAATGTTAAAGCAACTAAATTTAACATATTTGAAATATAACAAGGAAATATATAGTTATGATCTTACTGGGAGCTGTTACATATTAGTGTTAAAGAATTCTTAGTATTTAATTAGATACAATTTTGCTGTTTGAATTAAAACTGTTCAGTGTTGGTTATTTATTTTGGAACCAGCTGAGTAGCAGAGTTTCCCCTTTAGGGCATTTTGGAATACAAGCCTCAGTTCTTATGTAAGAGCCGTCTATTGTTTGTAAGGACCTTTTGAAGTGCCTCAGTATCCATCCATCCATCCATCCATCCATCCATCCATCCATCCATCCATCCATCCATCCATCCATCCATCCATCCATCCATCCATCCATCCATCCATTTTCTGACACGCTTATCCCAAGTGGGGTCGTGAGGGGTGCTGGTACCTATCTCCAGCTGTCAATGGGTGAGAGGCGGGGTAGACCCTGGACAGGTCACCAGTCCATCGCAGTGCCTCAGTTTTCAAATTAGAATAATTGGCAGGTTGTGGCAGGTTACACACCAAACCCAGTGTTGAGTCTCAGCCCATATATCAAATTTGGCGGAACAAATGTTTTTGGCATGATTTTGTAAACAAAGCATCCATAAAAATACTAGCTGACCATGTCGCCAAGATCATATCTGCAGTGACAGTTAGTCAATGTGCATACAAATAGATTGCTAGGATTTAGGTTCCAGGAGCTATGTTCCCAATTCGTATTATTATTAGACAGCATGGAATTAATTTACACTGTTGTGCCGATGATACTCAGCTATAACTGTCTATTAATCCATATGAAACTAACCAATTACATAGACTACAGTCATGTCTTGAAGACATAGAAACCTAGATTAATCTTACCTTTCTGCTTCTAAATGCAAAAAAAAAAACAGAAAAAGTCTTTGAACCAGATTCTATAAAAATAAAAAGATGATTAGTCTGTCACTTAATTTGGATGGGGTTAAATTGATCTCAGACAATAAAGTAAACAATCTTGGTGTTAGTTTTGCTCAGGACCTGTCATTTAAATCCCATATCAAAGAGGCTTCGAGAGTTTCCTTCTTTCATCTGCATAATATTGTAAATATTTAAAATATCTTATCCAGGGGTAATGTTGAGAAACTTGTCCATGCATTTGTTACTTCAAGGCTGGACTGTTGCAATTCTTTACTATCAGGAAGTCCACAAACTATAATTAAAAGCCTTCAGCTGATCCAAAATGCTGCAGCCAGAGCTCTGATGGAAATTACATAGAGGGATCATATCTCTCATATCTTATCTTCTCTTCATTGGCTTCCTGTTAAATCCAGAATAGACTTTTAAATCCTCCTTTAAATCCTCAGGCTCCTCTCCTGTGGAACCAACTACCAGTTTTAGTTCATGAGGCAGACACCCTGTCTTCTTTTAAGGGTAGGCTTAAAACGTTCCTTTTTTATAAAGCTTATAGTTAGAGTGGCTCAGGCTATCAGGGCTATCTATAGAGTTATGCTGCTATAGGCTTAGACTGCTGGAAGACCCTTTTCATCATTCTGCTTCATTCTATCTCTATTCTACCATTCCGCAATATTTATTAGTTCAATCATAGCTTTATGCTCTCTTCTCTTTTTCTCATCATAAAAATAGCTTCATCTGGTCTGTTCCTGTTTGGCTGTGACTCCATCCTGGAAAGAAATATCAGCTGTGCTGCTGTCATCAAAACCTTTGTTTATAGATGTTTGGAGGTTGGCCTGTTTTTCAGTGTAGTCCGGTTTATATGACTGTGACTAACTGTATGTGCTCTCTTTCATCCTCTGACATGGCAGCTGGCTGTGGTTTTCAGGGACGGGGCTGTCATCCCTGCTTCTTTTTGTATGTCTACTTTCTCCGTGCAAACCCCAGTTGGCCTGGCAGATGGCCACTCAAGCTGAGGCTTGTTCTGCTGGAGGTTTCACCCTGTTAAAATTGAGTTTTCCTCTCCATTATTGCTACAGGCATGCTTGGTGTTAGGGTTGGCGGTTGAGTCAGTGAGTCATTGCAATCAGCGTAGATGGAAAATTTTGAAGCAGCTGACTGTTTGATCTAGTTGAATGGTCTCTGTAAAGTGCCCTGAAAGTTCCTTGAGATGACATGCGTTTTGAATTGCCGCTATATAAGTATACAGAACTGCATTGAATTGAGATTAGTTGGTCAAAATTAGGCTGCTCAGTGGCGAGGTCTTTCTGCGTGGAGTTTGCATGTTCTCCCTGTGCATGCCTGGGTTCTCTCTGGGTACCCCGTCTTCCTCCCACAGTCCAAAAACATGACTTTTAGGTTAATTGGTTTCTCTAAATTGTCATTAGGTGTTAGTGTGCTAATGGTTGTTTGTCTCTGTGTGTCAATATGTCGCCCTGCGAAGGACTGGCGACCTGTCCAGGGTGGACCCTGCCTCTCGCACAGTACCTGCAGTGCTATTACTATTTAATTTTGAGTATTGAAAAGCACTGAAGCCAATTTGAGAAAGTTTTTGAGATAAAAGGAATTTAGGAATTCATACCAATGCATTTAAAGAACTAACTCAGATCTTTTACTTTCTTGTAGCAAAAGTGCAGATAATAATGTTTTTATTCTTTAAATTATGTAACTCAAGCACACAAAGCATTTATGCTTTCAAGGACTGTTTCACACATTTGATCTAAAAGGAAGTTATTCATAGCAACTGCACACCATTGTAGGAATGTTAGGCCTTAAAGCTACAGTGTGTAATTTTCAGCGACATCTAACGTCCAGACTGCAGACTGCAGCAAAATGAACGTCTCCCCCCCACCGCTTCTCCCCCCCAACAGTACGGCAAGCGTTAGGGGACAAAATGTCTTCCACGACGTCGGAATCACCTACCTTCTCAAGTGATGAGGTTTGTTTACATAGATAATTTTACAGATAGTATTTCATTAGTCTGTGTAGGGTATAGATTTCATGTAGACTTTAGATAATAAATATACCCGTTATTTTTTCTACATCGTTGTGACGTTTTGGTGAGCTGCTTTGCATGGTGATATAAACAGACGAAGTAATTGTAGTCATTAGTTTAACAGCAAGATTGTGTTCGCTGGAAGAATATATATTCCCCGTTTACAGAGTCCAAGTCTTGTTTGTGGCACGGGGGTTACAAGGCGAGGAAGAGGGCAGAGAGGCCGGGGTGGGCGTGCAGCTAGGGCCAGGCGAGGGAGGGGTGCCAGCGGGGTGAGAGCAGAGGAGGAAAGGCTTGAAGATCTCCAAAGGAGCCGGAGAGAAGTAACCGAGGTATATATCCAGAAAATTATTTTACAGAAAATTACTGAATCATTACCTGTGAAACGTCAGGGACGTTGCTGAATAAGTATACTGGAGAGTAACAGCATCATCACGCAGCATGTTATTGTTTTAGACAGGTCTGAGCATACTGTACTCCAAAAACTGCAGTGATATTAGACAATTGTGTGTGTAGGATTAATTACCTGTCCAAGAGAAAACTGGCAACTTGAGCGTCACTTTGAAAACCTTTTTCCTCCATCAGTGACTTCCATCGTGTAAATGCCGTGCCAATGTTGATCCGTGTTTTTTGTCGTTTCTTGTCACGCTTGCGTTTATTCTCGTCGTGTTTCCGCTTCTTAGATGACGGGGGTTCGGTGCCCGCCGCTTTTCGTTGTGATACAGAGTAGGCATGATCCTCCATTCGTCTGATGTTTGGCCACACAGTGCCAAACAGTTTGCAAAGTCACTCGCGCCTGCCGCCTTGTTCACCTTTCTTGTTACTGAGGCGCAGTATACCTGCTTCTTCTTCTTCTTTGGTTTCAGGCAGACTAAACGCTTCTCAGGCATAGTACTGCCATCTACTGTTCAGTACCGTCTCAGTTAATCTCTCTCAACTTGCCGTAGTTATTTTCGAGCGTAATGGGCGATCTCGCAATCGCTAGTTTGTTGCCTCTGCGCTTGCCGTAGCGCAAAGATGTCAGCCTCCATGGCTGCGAGACCCGCTCCTATGTAATTATAAATAACGAATTCTAAGGCAACGCAAATATTATGGTTAAATGGCTGAGCTCATAGGTGATGATAAATAACATAGTTATGTATAATATATTAAATTTCTGACTTTATATCCCTGTAATTATTACACACTGTAGCTTTAAACTTGTCATTTGTAAGGCTGCAGGGGCATGCATGACAACTTTGGATGAACTGCATGTGGTAAAATCCTTTTGTTTTCATTTGCTGTAGGAGAGAAAAAGCAATATTTACACAGGTGTTTTTCACTGTAGATTACATAGGGTGGTAATAAAAAAAACCCATCTGTGAGCACAATAGGTTGCGCAACGAGACCTTTTTTATTAAATTTTCGTGTTTTTATTTTTCAAATTTTTTGTTTGTTTGTTTGTTTGTTTGCCTAAAAGTTCAAGGCTCAAAATCGAGGCTCATAAAATTCTTTCTTTATCTTTTGTTTTTAATAAATATTATTTCCCCTTCAACGTTATTACCGCTGAGATACACTCTGACCAATAGGGCTGCTTATTGGGAAATCTTAGGGCGAACACCCGTCTTTCCATTGGTTGACACAGACATAAATGGGCGGGGATAAGAAAATGCCTTACCATAACAAGAACGGGCGCGTGCTCAAACACGAGCTCGATAGGAGTTTCCAGAACTCAGCCCGGCGACGAGACCCGAAGGGGAAAAAAACACCAATGGCTCATGCAAGGCGAGTTTAATCCGACAACAGTTCTGACAGCTGGGGCGTTCAGGTAGGACTCTGTCATTCTGAGCAGCTGTCATGCAGCAGAGGCAAATCTCAGTCCTCTTAGGCATAGAGTGTGACAAACATTATTATGTATATGTTTATATTTTTAAGTGAGTTTGCTGCCTGGTGACGAAGTTTATGGGTTTGCAATTGTCAAACATTGAAGAAGTAAGTCTCATTCTGCAGCCTCAGAGGGTCCAAACAACAAAGCCTTCAAATATGCATGCTCATACTAGTTTGTGAAATAGTTGTAATCCCTTAGAACCTCGTTCTACAGAAGCAGATGTGATTTCCTGCGGCTTTTTCGCAAAAAATATTTAGGAAACACTAAGATATGCTCTCTATAGCAAAAGCTGGCTATATTATATGTTATCTAAGTCAGTTGCACCCATGCACTCTGGCTTCAACCCATGTGATGATTGCATGGTTTGCATTAAAATTAGGGACTTAATACATTTTCTTTTGTATCTATAAGTCCTAAGGTTGTTTTTTTCTAAATAATAATAGGTTTGTATGTTTTCACTTTTTTAAACAGCAAATACAGGATAAACTACCTTCAACTGCATGGTTATATATTTTGTGTCTATTTATTAGTCTTAATCAGAGTTTTGAGATATTAGAGTTTTCAAGTTTTATGAAGAAATTGCTTTTTTTGTTTTGTTTTTAAAGCTACATTACTTTTAGAAATGTATTTGTAGTCATCCGATAACAAGACAATGTATTCACTTTTTCTGGCTAGCATTACAAAATGTAAAAGTCTGTTGTTGTTTTTCCAATTCATTTCCACTGTGTTATACTAATTTATTTCATGCTAGGCCTATTCTCAGTTTCCATTGATAATGGACCACAACACTCAGACCATGAAGACCCCTAGACACCTACCAAGCGATCAAGCGTCTGAAACCCAGAGGCTGACCCCACCTAAAAAACCAGGTACATACATTAATACCTTTAGGCACTTAAAGTAATGTATTGTTGTTGTGTAATAAAGGAATGTATCTTTATAGGGCAGAGAAATCTTTGATAATCAGTATCTGACTCAAACACCCATTTTAACACTGCAGTGATCTAATTAGGATTTGGAGATAAAAAGGTTAAAAAACAAAGAAGTTGTAAAGTGCTTTCTGAGCAATGTATTGTTTTTTTTCTTTATAAACATTCTTAATCAAGTTTTTATTACCTTACAATTTAAAGGTTAAGTTTTATCTAGTAAATTGGCAAACATAACCACTGGAAAAAGATTAAATAATTTTGCATATACAAGCGGATTGCTTCAGAGCTATCACTGGAAAACTTGTCATGTAAGGAATTCTTTACCATATCTTTCGTAAACTCATTAAAGATGTTGTTTATCTGCTTCACGTATGTTTTTAAGGCATTACCAGCCATGACTAAAAGTAAAGTTTTATTTATGGGCCTTTGGACTTAAAACGATTTAAAATAGTTTGAAAAAGTATTATATGAAAGTTTGGCTAAGAGTTCAAATGGGCTCTGTGGAAAAGTTTTTTTCTCTTATTTTTTTTTTCTGGTGGATTATTAATCCCAAATTTTCACCTATTTATGTTGTGTACAGCGGGTCTCCTGCCAAAGGTGACATAACAGAAGACTGGTTAGGGTGAGAACTAATGATTGTCAAGTCTGCCAAAAATATTTGGAGCTCAGTGCTTCAAAAATGAAATTATTTACATGGAACCTTTCCATGTTTGTTTAAGAATCAGGACATGTCCATACATCAAATTCTCCAATTCTTTCTGGTCAACCACAAAGCCAAACATTGCTGATCTATTCCTGCCCACCATCAGGATCCACAATTGGTTGTACAGTTGACTTTATTGCCCCATTTACACTACCCTTTTGAAACTGTGCCAAGATCGGTCTGAGCACGGTAACCGAGACAACTGTTGAGTGTAAATGGCACGCATAACTGAACTGCACCGTGCCAGACACATATTTGTGTCTGCATCGTGCCAGACACAACTGGCCAGACACTTCTGGCTCAGTTCTCAGATAACAAAGAGTGAATGAGAAGACCTTACAGTCAGCCTCCGTATCATGAAATTTCAGATATTTATAAAAATACTAGCTTGCCTACCGTGCCACACAGTTCCAGGTATGATTCTGCTTAGCAGTGTGATAAACCTCAACAATTGATGTCGTTTCCTGCATCTGTAAGCCCTGATTAGACAATATAATAACACAATTCTAACCAAACTTCCTGAATGCTACGGGTGGCGCCATGTTGATTTGCTTGTTTACCTGTAGAGAGCAGTTGTACCGTAGACCGTCACTAGGAGCCAAGAAACCGTGCTAGCGTGACGTGTAAACGGTCGTAAGGAACCAAGCTCGGCACGGTTAACTGATCCAAGCTCGGTCTGAACTTGGCACAGATCGGTTTTCAGAAGGTAGTGCAAATCGGGCTTATGGACTTTGTAGAATAAAAAGGGGCACTTTCCCTCTCACTGAAGAAAATTAGTGTCATGTCAATTAATCGGTTGTTCTTTTTGTGATTACTCAGTTAATAATCTCAGACAAAAAGTGCTGTATTTAAAGGTATAGTGAAGGATGTTCTTTTAGCGAGTGGATCATCAAAATAAGTGGTCCTACAAATTGCCCATCATTCTGGTGATATGTTTGCATAAGGCCATCATACGTGCTCGTCCCTATTTTCACTTACGCGTGGGGAGTCTGAAATAGTGGAAAAATTGCAAATCTGCTTTTGGAAAGTAAGCTTGTATGAGCGATGCAAACAGCAACTTTTAAACCAAGCATGCATGAGGAGAAATGGGCTTGTGCACGCTCTCTCATAGGTTTAATAGGCGTTTCCTCTTGGGAGTGGGTACAGGGTTGATTTTTTTTCTAAGAGGCTGTGCCTTTTTAAAAATTTGCTGAAATCCTCCACTATATCTTTAACAAGATTTTTGAACCAGTTCAAGCAAATATAATGCGACATTTAAATCAAGACTAAAAACACGTTTGTTTAGGTTTGCCTTCGACTGTTCTAGATAAACAGTTCAACTGAAACATCATTAGTTCAACTTTTTTATTTTCTTTAGTCCAACTGTTTTTAATGTTCTTTTTGGTTTCTGCATTTTTTCCCCCTACTTGCTTTGATTCTGTTTTATTTTCCTATATTTTAGTCATGTAAAGCCCTTTGCATTGCCTTTGTACTGAATTGTGCTATACAAATAAATTTGCCTTGCCTTGCCTTACTTCAGTTCTGAATGGAGACGATTTAATGACTAAAAGTTTTTCACTTCAGGTGTCAATTTTATATACGGTACTCTAAAATGTTTACCTTATAGTATACTGTATAACTCACCCTGAGTTGGCTTTCTTTCAGCAGGTGAGACGTTTTAAAGTCTGTATGCTCCCATTTACAATTGCTAAATTAGTTGACAAATATTTGAATGACAAATAATCACTGATCTGATTAATCAATCAGAGCTGGTTGATAGCTTTGGTTCTGGCCAAATCCGTCTTTAAATTACCTAACCTGGTTAAGTCATAGTCAAGAATTTGCCTAGTGGATGGCTAGTGCAAGTCTGCGCTCTGTGCTCTGTCATCATGTCTTTGGGCAAGATGCTTCACCCTTCCATGTCATATAGTGGATTTACCAGCATTCTGTGAGATAGATTTCCAAAGTTTGGGGTAATGTTTTATAGCCAAACCCTGCTTTAAACCCAACAGCAACACCACAGCTAACCTGTCTGATGGTTTTTTTTGTCCTATAGGTGCTGTTTGAGCTTAAGTGTTTTGTAACATATTTCTGTTACCTTCAAAGAACAGCCGAATTGCAAGTTTAAGTTAAACACTGATGGATTATTTGTTATAATTAGATAAACTCTGATTGCAATTGATTGGATTCAGGTGGAAATATTCAGATTTAAGAGAGTAAATAGGGCGGGTTTTCTTTTAATTCACCACTGTGCACTACCTAGTTTTTGTGGAAATTCTCAAAATTTCTATTATGTACCACTTTGTGGGAGTAACCTTACATAATGGGGTAAAGTTCAAGAGGTGTGAATGCTTTTGTAAAGCCCCTTTCTTTTATATTTCACATCTCACCTCCGGCCACTCCAACCCCCCCTCACATGTCAACCGGGTGATTTAGAACACGTTCTGCTTCAATTAGTGAACAAATGATCTAAGTTTGCAAACTGGGATCATTGACTTTGCTGCATGTGCAAATTTCTTTATGCTGAGTGCTTCCTAAAATGCTGATTTATGATGAAACCAAAACGCTTGTTTTTGACATTATGGTGTTCTTCTCACTTTGACCTTTAGTGAGGCAACAAAGACGTTTTATAAAACCTAAGATGTTTAAACATTAACCTATCAAATTAATATTGATTAACAAAATCTCAAACACAGCAGACCCAGTATAGAAATAATTGTGTTAGAACAATAAATCAGAAGTCTGACCTTAGCCCCCCGCCCCAAAAACATATGAATTGTAACGGAATAAATATACTTACTATCCAACCCTTTCACCAATCTACAGTATGTGTCAAATCCTCATTTTTTTCAGCTGGATTTTATTAAACTAAGTTGACTTTGTGTAGCAGTATACATGTTAGACTACAAATTTACACTTCAGGCCATAAAGTTTTAAATCTTATGTGTGTTTTAAAAGAAAAAGGCTGCTCTGACCTGCTCAGATTACTACAGGACGTATTGGGTTGATGTGGATGTATACAACAGTCTTCATTCAAATGATCCCTTTGGAGAGTTGGTGACCTCAGTTATCACTCCTAACTGTAGATATGTGAAGATTTGGTTTTCTTACTTATAAAGATCAACATACATCTGCCTTATTTAAATGGTATGTTCTTTTTTCCTATTTTGAAGAGTTTTGATGTGAAAATTGCTTATGTGCCAATACCTATTTAAAGCAAACTGAATGGGAATCAGGAATTTATCAGATTAAAAGATGTTTTCCTAGAGTTTCCATTTATATTATGGGAATTATAATGATAACTCCTTATTAATAAAATCAAATTGAATTGTTTCAATTTTTTCAAATATTTTTTTTCAATTTATATTTATTCTTTGGTAATACGTTATTAATTCATTTTAAAGAAGTTTTTTACTTTAAAATGGTTAGAATAAGGGTGCAAAATGGAAAGGTCTTTCTTTTTGTAACCTCCCTATCTTTCTAGTCTCATGGTAATGATCCTACCTGTGTATAAGGCACACAGACATGTCCTTACAAGATAACCTTATCATTTCTCCTATGAACCTCTGACCTGTATTTCCACAAAGTCAGCATGGTTAAAGCGATATGGTTTCGTGGATGGCTAATGCAAAGAAAGCTTCTTTGTTTAAAGAAAGAACTGATAAAAAGAACATCAATTTGTGGTTTCATAATGATCAGTTCATCTTAGCCATGGCAACGAGTCACCTCAGTTTCCCGAATAGCAAATGGGTTCAATCTAAATCCAATTAAAATTCAATGAATACAGTCAGATTCCTATCTGGCTACAGACACAGAGATTCACTCAAGTTTAGATCAAACAGAGTAAGACTTGTAGGAAATTGATAAAAGGTCGCATCTGTCCAATGGAGTTCATCATTTAGCAGCTAAACTGCTTATGTCACAGCACTTGTTTCTGTTATTCATTGAAATTTTTGACTGTCTTTAATTCCATTGTATTTACAAAAACAGTGACATGTAAAAGTATTTCTATTATGTTTCTCTCTTATATCCCTAAACAAATCTCCAGTGCTGCCATTGCCTTCAAAAGCCACTTAACTATTTTCCTCCGAAAAAATAGAATTTAGACCAAAGAACATAATGTAGCACCTAAGTAGAGAAGTCTAAAGTGGGTTTAGATCATAAAGCAATATATAAGTACTCTGAGTATCTCTAAGATACACAAAAAAAAATAATGCATCAGTTTTTGGCATTAACTTAATCATAATTTGTTAATTTAACACAACTGTTTCATGTTTGTAGGGTAGGACATAAAACAATTTTGTTGAAGTTTTTTGAAATGACCTGCATTCTCCAGTAAAAAAAAAATGTACATGCATAACCCTGTACCAGCTCCTGATAGGGTATTCCTATTAAACCCATGTGAGACCATACACAAGCCCATTTCTCCTTGTGCACGCTGTTTAAAAGTTGCTGTTTGCATCACTCATACAAGCTTAGTTTCCAAAAGATTTGCTATTTTTATACTATGTTAGACTCACCACCGGTAAGTGAAAATTGGGACGAGCACGTAGGATGGCCTTACGTAAACATATCACCAGAATGATTGACAATTAGGAGGACCATTTATTTTGATGATCCACCCCGAAAAATAATATTGTCCACTATACCTTTAATGTTCAATCTAGTAATCTGAAAATGAACATTAAAATGTAAAACATATGGCCTTATTGTAAACTCACCAAGACATGGCTGTCTACCTCAACGAAATAGCAAGGATGCCCACCTTCAATCTGGAGGAGCATTAGAGACCCGCAGTGTATGTGGGATGTTAAAAAGATGACTATATCCACTCACAAACCTTTAATAGAAGAGCGATAAGAAGAAACTTTTGTCAAACAGAAAGCATAGAAAAGTTTAATAAGCAATTTGACAACTGGACACAGCAAACACAGATTGCACTCTGGTTAGATCAGGCAAAAATGTTATTTTCTGGCCATGCATAACCCCATACTTCACCCTTAAAGTAACATTTCTTCTGCAGAAATTTGGTGGCAACATCATCCTTTGGGATACTTTTCTTCAATTTAGTGGGAGAGAAATTGTTGATTAGAAGATGGATAGTAATATGGGTAAATCCTTTAGTAAAAAGATCAAGACCTGCAAAAGGCGGATCATTGTGTAGAGCTAAAACAGCTGGGGTTTTAGATCCAAGTATGTTTCTGTGTGCTGTAAAGAATCTGTGGAAAGACTGAAAATATTCTCAGATGCTCTCTGATCATACAACATTAATTAATTAGTATGGAGACATTTAACCATGATCGCAGTAGAATTAGTTTGGATAAGACATTACATGGTTTTTAAAAATTCTTATTCAATTTACAACATGTAATCAGAGGTACTCATAAAAGTAACTAAGTAAAAGTAAATTATACAAAGAGTATTTTAGAAAAAGTCAGAAAACTGTTTACAATAATTGGAAAAGTAAATCACTAAGCACTTTTGTAGTTGGTGTCCCTTTACATTAGAGATAAAATTTGTTAAAAAGCTAATCCTAAGAAAACACGATATTCAAACAGTACTGTCCATAAGAACTTAAAGTGATAGATAGTGACATGTATCCACCACTGTGCTGTCTACCTGAGAAGACGTCTGTAAGAAGACAATAAAATGGTTCCTCTCAGATTTTGAGAAAAAGAACCAATAAAGTGCAACATGTCGAAATAATTTAAAGGCCAAATAGAATAAATTTCACTCATCATTTATCAACAATAATTCAGAATGGTTTAATATAATTTGGGTATATCCATTTTAAATGAAACTGTATAAATTACTTTCTCACCCTCAATAAACATAAAAGAAATTCATATTTCAGTTTTTACAAAAAAAAAAAAAGTACAAATCTTAACCAGTAAGGAGGACGAGAACAAACGGAGCGCAGTTCTTTTCTTCTTAAAATGCCCTTTCCACATAAGCGAATAATTTCATGATAACATCAGGTTGTTTTAATTTGTAGTGAGTAACTATAACTCAAGAAGTAAAACTTAAATTGTCATGTCTGTAATTTAACAAAATAAAAGTCTTGATAAAAAAATTGTAATAAAAAAAATAAAAAATGAATTCTGGGTCCTCTAAATGCTGGAATACAACAGTATTTTATCAAATCCAGATGGCTGATCTCTCATAATTTCTTTTATTTTTCTGTTTCTTCCTCAAGGTTGCAGCTGCCTGGTGGTTCTTGCTGCTGTGTCCGCCTCCCTGAGCGGCCTAATGCTCGGTTATGAAATGGGCCTGACCTCAGGGGTCCTCCTTCAGCTGCGGAGCATCCTCTCTCTGTCGTGCAGAGAACAAGAACTTTTGGTGAGCTCCCAGCTGCTCGGAGCTCTACTCGTCTGCCTGGCGGGGGGCACTATTCTGGATCACTACGGCCGCCGCTGCTCCTTGCTCCTGAGCGCTGCCCTGGTGGTTGGAGGAACTGTTGTGCTTGTTGCTGTGACTTCACTGGTAGCTCTCATCCTGGGCCGTGTGATAGTCGGAATGGGGACGTCTTTATCAGGGACCGCAGCGTGCCTGTACATTGCAGAGATCTCGCCGAGGGAGAGGAGGGGGCTGCTGGTCACCCTGTATGAACTGATGCTGGTTGTAGGGGTGATGCTGGGCTTTGGCTGTAGTTATGTCTTCGCTACTACGCCCCATGGATGGGCATATACATTTGGACTCGTAATTCCACCTGCACTCATCCAGATGGGTGCACTTCTCTTCCTCCCACCTAGTCCCCGCTTTCTAGTTGCTCAGGGAAAAGTGGAACAGGCGAGGGTAGTGCTGGTCAGGATGAGAGGTAGATTTAAGGAGAGTGTAGCAGAGGAACTCAGGGAAATCCAGGTTGGGCTGAAGGAAGAATCTGAGCACAGTTTCTGGGAGCTTTTTAGTTCTAAAGCTAACCTGCGCTTACGGCTGCTGACGGGAATTGCCTTAGTTTTCCTGCAGCAGGCCACCGGGCAACCTAACATCTTGTCCTACGCCTCACCTCTTCTTCGCAGCATGGGTTTTGACAGCGATGCTGCTGCTACCTTGGCATCCACAGGTTTTGGAGTCGTCAAGGTAGTCGGTACGATCCCTGCTGTGCTGCTAGTTGACCGCCTGGGAACCAAGAGCTTTCTGTGTGTGGGAGCTGTTGGAATGGGAATATCACTGGCTGCACTCGGTACCCTGACAATGCAAAGCCGCACCCACCTAACGAGCCTTTGTAAAAGCCAGACTTTATTAAATCACACCAATTCACCGTGGGATTTAAACAGAACCTCAGTAGATCTGGACATCAGTGAGATTTTTTCAACTCAACTACCAAGCCAATGGGATTCTGAGGAGGAACAGTGGACTGATGCTGAGAATGACAGGTTCTGGGACTCGGATAGAGCGACGACACATGTAGAACTGTCTTCCTCTCTAAAGTGGGTGTCATTGATAAGCCTGCTGGTCTACGTTGCAGCCTTCTCAGTTAGCCTGGGACCTAGTAAGTATCTGTTTGTTCCTTTTCCCTTTCCTCTACCTCCTATTCATTGCATCGCAAATTTACAGAATTATCAAAATAATCTTCATTCATTCAGCCTTCCTCATCTATCAACAAAGTCTATTGATTTGGTTTTCAGAAGTAGTTTCTACACTTAAAACTAGTAACTACAGTTTACTTTGTTTGGATTTTTCAATATGGTTTTCAATATGTTTAAAAGTAAAACTTTGAAGAGTGTGCATTTGTGTTGACGCCCTCTAAGTGAATAATGTTATGTAGAACCACTTCCAATGGAATTACAGCTAAAAGTCTTAAGGGCATAAAGACAAGAACCTGTTTTACAATTACAGTACATCCTCAGGGTAAATCATGGGTAGTTTTAAAGCACACACAGGGCTCGTCATTTAAAAATTCCAACTAAGGATTCTTTGAAGTCGTAGGGAAATCATTTTTAATTGTCAAATCATTCTGGCCTAAACATGTATATAAATGCACTCTTTATCAGACGATATCTTCAGCAGGCGTAGAGCTAACAGAACTGGCAGCGTTGTGAGGCAAGGGCTCAAACATGTACGGCTGTAAGCCTTCTACACCAAACAAACCTTCTGCCGCCCTGGCATCCTCTTCCACAACAACTTCGTCCCCGCTTTCCTCCTCTAATAAAAAATGTATGATAGAGGAGACTCATCCATGACCTCCAACACAAAACTCTCCTCCTCTTGCATGTTTCCGCTGTCCATAACGTTCCTTGACAGTGTCGTTTCTAAGTCGCCAATTTAGTGCTACATGGTCCCAATGGAATTTCCCATTGGGAACCTACTAGCACTAAGTTGCTAACTGGTTAGCAAGATGCTGCCAAGAAACCGGCCACAATGACACTTGCTTGCAAACCTTCCGCCACAACAATCCCGCCCTCTTGATAAATGACCAATCATATTAATTTTATTCACTCGTCGTTCACCACTCGTGAGAATTCTGAAATGCAACTGTTGGAACAGCCGTTTCCCTACGACTTTAAATAAGGAATTAATAAGGAAAACAATAAGCAAACCAAAATAAACAATGAACGTGTGATAAGTGGGCATCTTACTGATAATATACAAAAATTGCGTGGGCAATGCAGAACAGGTTTGCACAGCAGTTCACAATAGCCTGCACATGGTTTGTGCTACTGGCAGTCTGCACAAACTGGGTGGCCATGAAAGAAAGATGATGTTCAGTTAGAGCTACTAATGATAAGAATTGAAAAAATGTAATAACAGTAATATTATTGTAAATGATGATAATAACAAATAATTTTAAATGTCGAAAACATATACAGTGGGCCAAAAACTCATTTTGTCAACTAGGGCTGCAACTAACGATTATTTCGGTTAATCAGTTGATTAGTTGATTAATAATTAGATAGCCCAAGGTTCCTTAAAGATTTTTTTTACAAAATTTAATGAGGTGAGATTAAAACTTTTCCACTTCAGGAGTTCTGGGTAGAGCATCTGTAAAGACAAAAACATTTTTTTAATCTTAAATGCACAGGATTTTAAAATTTATTCTGAATTATGGTGGAAAATAACTGTTTAGTCTATAACAAAAGTTTGACTCAATACTTTGTAGCCTAACCTTAAAGATCCAACAATGTGATTTTATCTCTCATAGTTGAAGTGGAGGAAAGTAGTAGTAGCAGTTAAAGTATGAGGAAAATTACAGAGCTCTCTCATCTTTCTAAGCAGGATAACGTGCACAATCAGTGGCTGACTATGTGCTTTTTTGTCCCACTGTATTAATTTCAAAATGCTAAAAACATTTTTAAAAAATCGAAATTATAAAAGCTAAATTTAAAATATTAAACATCAATCATGAAAACTGGAAAAGCTAACTTTCTGACATACAATAGCTCAGGAAGCACCTGTCAGACATTCAACAAATTCAAACTTTTAACAGCTGACACATAACATTTTAAACCAAGGTAGGCATATAATAATTTAATACACATTAACTGCTTCATAGGAGCACACTCTGAGATATATTATGAGATATATATATATCCACCATATATTTTTTCTTCCTTTTTTTCTTTCTCCCTAAATCTCCTTTTACAGGCTCTGTGATGATGTCTTGTTCTCTTGTCGCTGTTAAAGTTCTGCAGGTTGTAGTGCTGTTGCCTTGCAACAAGAGGGCCTTGGATTTGATTGCTGGGGTTGTATGTCTAATTGTTGCCCTGCGATGCACTGCCTACATGTCCAGGGTGTTATTTTGCCTTTCGCCTATAGACTGCTGGAGATGTCTGTCATTGAACTTATATGCATCCCCTGCTACAGTGCCTTCCAATATTTTTGTTTTGATAGTTTGCAGCTGACCTTCAAACAGGCTAAACATTGATTTCATTCAGTTGGTTTCAGGTTACATTATGTTTAACTGTAACAGTTACTGCCTTCAGTACCTTGTTGAAAGGAGTATGTCTCAAAACTGTCATTGAGTTGGTAGTAGGGTCAGTGTAGTGACTATTTTTACAAAACTAAAATTCGAAATTCTAAGAACTTAAGACGTGATCAAAGCAAAAGGTGAGTTCAACTCAAATAGCCACCTGATGCACCGTGGATTCTGGCTTATGCAGTCCAAAAAGATCAAAAAGGGTCAAAATCCAGTTCTCTGCTTGCTTTATTTCTCCATTATGACAAACAGGGTATAGGCTTCACAGGATTCTTCTATTGCTCTCACTCTGATTCCTGCACCTGGTCTCTGATTGACTGACTGATTGATTGACTGGCTAAAAACTGAGAACTTGTAAAAAACCATATGACCACCCACGTGCATCATGAGCTACCTAAGACCTCCCTATTTATACTGTGAAACACCCACATCTCAAGCTAAAATTAACTAATTAACTGAATCACTAAACAAATCTTATTCTAAATAACAAATCAAATGAAATAATCAAAATTCTAAGATTTAACTAAAAATGGAGAGATAGCTCCTAGAGTCAGCATCACAGGACATCATTTACATTATAATATCTAATGTCTTCATCTAATAAAGCCTTGTATGCTAGCTAATTGAGTATATGACCACCGTAGCAATCTAGTATTAGTTAGCAGTATCTTACCCTTTTAGCTTCACTTGCTTTTACTATTTATTAATACCACTCCATAGCTTCCTTCTCTCTTGTACTTATAGTGCTTCCTCTTGGCCATCTTGGTTCACTCTGAGCCTGACAACACCTATAAGTTAAATAGCTGTTGTGTTTCACATCATTTCACCGCATCTCAGGATGAATCGAGTAGAATAGGTACTATTGGAAATTGGCTTTTTTTTTTTTTTTTTTAGGTTTTATTGTCTTCGTTATGGTTTGGCTCATCGCTTAGCTTGAAAATCTCTGACACCTTCACGGAACAGATTCCAAGATTAAATTCCATCCTTCTGGGCTTTCAGTATTTATTTTAGGGCTGAAACAAATAATTGGACAAATTTATAATAATAATTTAGCAATCGATTAATCGTTAAACGAGACTCTAAAATATGCCTTTAGCTGACAGAGCAACCCACTTAGAGCAGTAATTATATCAAAATTGTAAAAGAAAATATGTAAACATTTTGCATTTAAGATAAAAAAAACTGTTTTGTTTGTCAGTATGTTAAATCCAGCACTCCCCAAGTGGGAACATTTTAGTTCTACCTGATTTAGAATAGTGAAAATCTTCTTTAAGGATTCTTTGGTTGTCCGATTATTAATGAATTGATTAAAAAAATAATCAACAGATTACTCGATTTGCAAAATAATCGTTTTATTGCATTTAAAAATGTACTGGATTTTATTTAAAGACATCAGAATAATGGGGCCTAGATTCTGCAGGGACTCTTTTAGACTTTTTTGGTGGGAAAGTTAAAACTATGTATTTCAAGTTAAAAGAATACAAAATGTTTATTTGTTTATCAAATAGAAAGTTGAATAATGTTCAACTGCAGTTTAACATCCTACTATACAAAAACATTTCAAGGGGTATGAAAAGTTTTACGACAATCTTATAAATGCTTATCAATCACGATTTCCCCTTGGTCTTCGTCCAATACAACATCTCTATGTAGTTAAAGAGGGCAGTAAATTAAGTCATTGCACGAAGGAGAGCAAGGTACACGAGTTACAGTCATACAGTAAATAGGATTAGGTTAATAAGGTGATAGGAACTCAGCTCCCCTGATAATGCAACATAAACCCTGACTCAGAAGTTTCTACTAATGACCCTTTTCATTGTCTTCATGTTCTTCTCTTCTCAGTGGTGTATGTGGTCCTCAGTGAAATCTTTCCCATGGGAGTCAGAGGCAGGGCCGTGTCGGTCGTGTCGGCAGTGAACTGGGCCACAAACCTGCTCATTTCCATGACATTCCTCACCATCACAGGTTTGTATGTTAGTAAATGTGTTCTATCAAGATTGCATGAGTTACCATAAAGCTAGAGAGACAGATAATCGGTAGTTATACAAACAGCTTCTATGCGCAGTAGTCATTAGTAACAAATGATTTACAACACAACTTTGCCAAAGGGAAGGGAAAAGATTAGTTTCTGCAAGATTTGTAAAATCCCTGATTTCAGATCAGACAGCTCCATTCTATATCAAGTTATGTTAAACCTTTATGACAACCATTTATTATGCAGTGTTCAATATCAAAGTCTAACAGTTATTTTATTAATCTAAAAAAACGTGGTTTAATATCAGATGAATATAAAAAAATAAATTTTTTGTTTATGAAACGATATATCAAGGACAGTTTTCTTTAGGCCACCTGACCTTCTTGTAGCGAATGATTCTCCCCTTTATTCATTTAACTTCACTGAGGTGCTTCATTCCCAAGGTTTTCTCTGCTATTAGTTTTCAGTTAATAGATTTTTAAGGAGCTTCTTGTATGTGGAGTTTTTATTATTTTTTAGTTAATTTCAAATTTTCCTAAAACCTTCTGCAACATAAATTAGAATTCATGATGAATCCTATGATTATGGGCCGGCTTGGTCCTTCTGCAGCAAAGTGTCTCTTAAACCAATGATACTTCCACCTCAATGCTTCAGTCTATATGTGTTTTTTTTTTTCATAAAATGCTTTAGGTTCAATAAATTTTTTAATTCTTTTGACTTCTTCCTCCTCTTCCTGCATAATGGGGGTTACATTGCCACCAGGGGTGTTGATATGTACTTGAAAACTTGCATTTTCAAAGATAAAACAATGTTCCATCTGTGAGGATGTTGGCTATCCATGAGTTAAAAACAACGAACAGATAAAGAGCTTAAATGTATTCATGCTAATTTATATCTAGTTTCAGACACCTACTCATACATCTTTTAGAGACAACTTACTCCATGTGTCCTAATATTTTCACTCTGTATATTTCTTGTGGTTAGGATTTCCATGAGAGATATTTTACATATTGTTTTGCATAAATTAACAGGTTCTGTTTAGTTTTAGTTCAGATTATATTATCTATCATTCCAAAGGGCTGAAAAGGAATCCTTTGGTCTAATTTATTACTGCCTGTGACACTGATTAATAATAATTTTAGAATATACCATATATAATCACATTTTTACCATTTCCCAAGTGAATAAAGTGTGAATGTGTCTTTTTTATCTCCAGAAAAGATTGGCGTTCCAAACGTAATGTTTCTATACTCCGCCATGAGTTTTGTTCTATTGGTTTTTGTCATCCTCTGTGTCCCTGAGACCAAGGGCCGGACACTGGAAGAGATATCAAAAGAGCTGGCGAAGAAGTGAGAAGTGAAAGCCTGCATGTCTGCTAGAGGGTTGATTTGTAAGATAAAATACTTATTTGTTCTCTTTCCACTTTCTCTGAATCAACAGGAAGAGCTTTGAGGTGCAGCTTTTCAGGCAGGCACAGCCCCAGGAGAGCCTGATCAACAGGACCCCATCGACAGAGGGCCCCAGAAGCATCTAAATACCATTTGCAGCCATCAAAATCTGCAGCAGATGTAACAAAATTTGAGAAACAACTGTTCATCCGTAAAGTGTTAGCTGGTCCAGATATTAAAGCTCAATCATTAGGCTGTTGGAATAACAGGAATAGGAAGAAGCTGAAAAGTGAGATTTTCTAAGATTAGGTCAGCTCGGGGTTCACTAATATTGTATTTTTAATTATCTTTTTTTTTTTACTTCAGTTTTATTTTTCATTCATTATTCTTTTGCAAAACAAGAAAAAATAAACTTTAAAGGTACTTTTAATGCTGTAACTAATCATTTCAAGGTCCAATGAAAAAAATTTTCATTTGTAAATGAAAACTATTTCTAGGAGGGTTTTTGTAGAACAGAAAACCTTTGCTGTAACAAGAAACAGGCAGCCAGCAGTTGTTTAATGGTCTTTTTATTTTCATACAGAATACAAAAGTTTTAAGTGTCACAAATTATTACTCACCACTGATTCAGAAAGTACTCAGTCACACATAAAAACCAAACAGGTCTGGATTTATCATCTTAAGAAGGAGATGCTTAAGACGTCCACATACAATATACGTTTTTTCTCAGATAGCTTAAACCGAGCATTCAGAGGTTTTGCATCTATGATAATAAAAACACTGCTTTCTGTTCCGGGAGTTCGTTTTTCATGCCGTTTTAGAGCTACCTAAATGTTTTTCACTGTAAAATCTTTAAGTACATTTCACTGAAAAGTGTTACAACTCTCCACAGGGTGATTGTTTATTTTCCAATGTACTGTTTCACATTAACTGTCTGCTACTTTAAGCCTTTTAATGAGTTTGTTTTCTTTTTGAGGGATAATAAAAATGGGCTTTGAAAGTTAATGAAATGCAATTGAATCAGTTTATTAACACTCAAGTATTGGAAAAAAAACCTGCATTAAAATTCACATTTAAAAACAAACAGGAGATAGTTTACACTAGTACCCTATCAAACATTAGAATAAATATACACTATTTTAGCAAGAGAGAAAACAACTATGAGGAAAGGGCGTAAAGTAACGAGGTGTGTCCATTTTTAACAAAGGGCAGATAACCAAATGTTAAAAAGGAAAACCTAAGAAAGAATGCATTTAGGATCTCATCTAAATTTGTATACATTCCTATGTGTTGTTTGAATGTGTTGGCTTCAACAAAAATGGTACATTATAGGATGGATGTCTTGTCTATAGAAGGACGGAGATTTTCCATCGATAAAACACAAAGGGAGAACTTATAATATGATGATGTATCTGTCAAGATTTTTTTTCCTGTGTCCATGCAGAAAGACACCCATAGTAATTATCTTTCTCCTACTCCAATAAGCGGTAAACGAGTCCAGTTCCCGTCCAGTCTGTCCGCTGCTTTCATCCGTCCAAGGATAAAGGTGCTACTCGCATGGATTCCCTCTGTACTCGTTTATTTGCAGCGGGGCTTCTGACACTCATACAGTATTGGATAGATGTGTTCCACAGCAGCTGCGACGTTCTGCACATTTGGTCCTTAACATGAGGGGCAGTGAGAAATGTGCGACAGCATTAAAACATATTTAGATGGTAATAAGATATATGCAGCTAAAAGTTAATCATTTCAGTAATACAAAGTGAAAATCATTCATGAAATTCAAATAATTTATTCTTATAATTCTAGATTAAAGCTGGGAAGATAAATATAAAGGAAATAGAAATAACAGCTAACTGAGCAATGTGTACAGTAGATGCACTCGCAGCTCCTTTGGTGTAAATTGCTCCATAAATGTGGCATATAAGCAATTAGTCTATGGCTCTGGTTAGTTGTAATTAAAGCCTATGCTGCTAAAAAGCAACCTTCAAGTTATCAGAATAGTTCAGTCTAGAGGGTCTCATCTTTCTCTTCAAAATTCACCATAAAGTTTAGGTCAAAAGAGTTTAATGGTCCTCAAGCATATTAATTAGGACAAAGCCACTGGACAAGCCAGAACAGTTTCTATTCCAGCTATAAAACTCCCAATTTTTTCAGCTTATCTCACTTTTTTACAGTGTTGTCATCTTTTCAGGACTGAAACAACATTGGAAAGCTGATCTAGCTCAGACACGAGGTTTGACAGATGGATACTTTTAGTCCTAATCATCTCCATCAAGCTTCTCTATTATGGAAGAACCAGGTGCTCTGACTGGAGCAGGTGAATTTGCATCCAAAATCAATGACTATAGAAATGAAACAATGGAGCCGAAGCTACTTTGATCATGTGTTTCTCCACTCATCCTCCAGACACTGAAACCTTGATATATCCAAAGATTTTTAAAATGAGAATTTGCAGTCTCAAAGCTACAACTGTCACTGCTCCTTCCTTTAAAATGACATGAATACAGCAAATTGTGCTGCAGTCATTGTGCTGCAGTCATTGTGCTGAAGTCAGCCGCCTTCTCCAAGATCACACAGGTAGTAAGGTGGCCCTAACATTTCTGCCCTAAAAATCATTTTTTTGTCAGTCTTATATATTTGTAGCCAGTTTCACTTTCTTATATGAGCTAAAAATAAAGTTTTTCATAATTTTCTAATTTATTTATTTACCTGAAACCACTGATAGTCAATAGCACCATGATTTGTGACACAACTTTACTGGTTTGCATACTGCAAAAAACAGTAAACTTTATATTTAGTAGATCCATTGCTGTAATACAGAGATGTATTAAGAAACTTCTAGTAAAAGAAAAAAAGTGTATTGCTACCACATCCCAATCCCAATAAATACAGGAGGCCAATGGTTATTGGCATGTGTGAGCGCGTGGTCATGTGAAAGTAACAGACCTGTCACTGTGAGGCTGCCCGTAGAAAACACCTGGACTGTAGCCTTCAGATTTTTGATTCGATAAGTAGCAGCAGGATGGAGCTCGGGTTCATAGCTGACAAACAGTAAAATGTACAAAGTTAAAGGATACAGAATAAACAAAAAGACTTAGAAGCAACAATACATATTTGACTTTGGCTTTGTACAAAAAAAAGGCCACTAGAGGGCGATATTTATTAGCAAATATTGCAAAACAATCTTATTGCAGGCTGGCAAATTGAAATAATTACAAGTTTCAATGTGGGGAAAAAAAATCTAAATTAATGTCAATGAAATTAGCTAAAAGCAGGAGAAAAGTGAAAACAGCATATTTGGGACTGAAATGTGAGATGTAAAGAGTCCAACAATAAAGAGTATTGATGATGTGATAATAATTGTGCGTTACCTGGCAATGGGCCGGTTGTTATTTGTAAAGTTTATAAGATGCACTGCGAACGGCATGGAGCACACTGCGAGCACGTTCACAACTCTGAAAGCTGAGAATCTCACCTGCACAGACAAGGAACAGATGAGTTTATATGCAAGAAAACTGCCAGAACCATCGTTTCTGTGAAGATCTCTACGGTTAAGCAATGGTAAATCTAAGATATGTAAACAAAACATCGGAATCGGCGGTGTGGGAAGTTTTATGGATGGTATTTGAGCCGGACAATAACTTTACTCCGATTCTTGTGAACCTTAATTTAAACTAAATCAAACAATATGTGTACCAGTAGGCAACCCTTCTCTGAGGTTGTGTTTCATTAACTAAGAGGCATGTTTGACAAGTAAAAAGACAAATCATGATCTTATTCCTCAGTCATTTGATGTACAGGTGCTGGTCATAAAATTAGAATATCATGAAAAAGTAGATTGATTTCAGTAATTCCATTTAAAAAGTGAAACTTGTATATTATATTCATACATTACATACAAACTCATATATTTCAGATGTTTATTTTGTTTAATTTTGATGATTACAAATGACAACAAATGAAAATCTCAAATTCATCATATCAGAAAATTAGAATATTACTGAAGACCAATAAAAACAAAGGATTTATAGAAATGTTGGCCAACTGAAAAGTATGAACATGAAAAGTATGAGCATGTACAGCACTCAGTATTTAGTTGGGCCTCCTTTGGCCTGTATTACTGCAGCAATGCGGCGTGGCATGGAGTCGATCAGTCTGTGGCACTGCTCAGGTGTTATGATAGCCCAGGTTGCTCTAATAGTGGCTTTTAGCTCTTCTGAATTGTTGGGTCTGGTGTATTGCATCTTCTTCTTCACAATACCCCATAGATTTTCTATGGGGTTAAGGTCAGGAGAGTTTGCTGGCCAATTAAGAACAGGGATACCTTGGTCCTTCAACCAGGTACTGGTAGCTTTGGCACTGTGTGCAGGTGCCAAGTCCTGTTGGAAAATGAAATCTGCATCTCCAAAAAGTTGGTCAGCTGCAGGAAGCATGAAGTGCTCTAAAACTTCCTGGTATGTGGCTGCGTTGACCCTGGACCTCAGAAAACACAATGGACCAACACCAGCAGATGACATGGCACCCCAAACCATCACTGACTGTGGAAACTTTACACTGGACTTCAAGCAACGTGGATGAAGTGCCTCTCTTCTTTTCCTCCAGACTCTGGGACCTTGATTTCCAAAGGAAATGCAAAATTTACTTTCATCAGAGAACATGACTTTGGACCACTCACCAGCAGTCCAGTCCTGTTTCTCTTTAGCCCAGGCAAGACGCTTCTGACGCTGTCTGTGGTTCAAGAGTGGCTTGACACAAGGAATGCGACAGCAGAAACCCATGTCTTTCATACGTCTGTGTGTGGTGGTTCTTGAAGCACTCACTCCAGCTGCAGTCCACTCTTTGTGAATCTCCCCCACATTTTTGAATGGGTTTTGTTTCACAATCCTCTCCAGGGTGCGGTTATCTCTCTTGCTTGTACACTTTTTTCGACCACATCTTTTCCTTCCCTTCGCCTCTCTATTAATGTGCTTGGACACTGAGCTCTGTGAACAGCCAGCCTCTTTAGCGATGACCTTTTGTGTCTTGCCCTCCTTGTGCAAGGTGTCGATGGTCGTCTTTTGGACAACTGTCAAGTCAGCAGTCTTCCCCATGATTGTGTAGCCTATAGAACTAGACTGAAAGACCATTTAAAGGCTTTTGCAGGTGGTTTGAGTTAATTAGCTGATTAGAGTGTGGCACCAGGGGCCATCAATTTTGAACCTTTTCACAATATTCTAATTTTCTGATATGATGAATTTGAGATTTTCATTTGTTGTCATTTGTAATCATCAAAATTAAACAAAATAAACATCTGAAATATATGAGTTTGTATGTAATGTATGAATATAATATACAAGTTTCACTTTTTAAATGGAATTACTGAAATCAATCTACTTTTTCATGATATTCTAATTTTATGACCAGCACCTGTAAGTGTTCAACTCATGTATAGGTCCGGGCAATTTTTGAATTTAAAAGAATCTGATTCCTCATTTCGATTCTGGTTCTTTACGATTTTTTTTAAGAAAAAGAAGAAAATTTCTTGTTTTAAATAAGCCGGCTAACCGGAGTTCTGTCAGCCTGAAATAGTCTGAACTTTTAAATGAGCTTTAATTCCTCAAACATCTTTTTGTAAACGTTACTATCAATTATCAACCTGCTATTTTCAACCAGTATATATATATTGAACCTATGAACTCTAATATAATCTAATACATTTTCTAAAGATAGAAATACATTTTCATATGAAACTTTTTGTTTAAAACCTCAAAAACAGGTTTACATATATCCTTGTTTTTAGGCTTCAGGTACTAATGTTGTCTAAGAGAGTATTATTACTTCCTTTCTGATGCCGGTGCAATGCCAGACGATGCCAGTGTCTGAGCTGTAAGAGAAAGCAGCGCAGCAGGAAGGCATCCTGACAGAGTTTATATCCTCAGCACCCTTTACTGAACCGCAGCTCTACTCTAAACACATGGAAGCAGTGACATTTTGTGGAAAGAGAAACGATCAATTTCATACTTTATTATTCAGTTAATGGGTTTGATGATATGATTCCAAATAAACTAAAATGCAGATGAATATGCTGAACATTATTCTGTCAAAATGCTTTTCATTCCATCCAGACATTGAAGGAAAAGAGGCAGCTATCTGTTAAAACGTAAAAAAAAACAAAAACAAAAAAAAACAGGAAAAGGTTTCGCTCTCCCTGCAGAAGCTGCACTACTATTGTAGCCGAGGAACGAACTCCGGAAGATGCTCTAACTCGGACTCCGGTGGCAGTGATTAATTATGCCGTCCTTTGCACTATACAGTAGCCGCCATTCAAAATGGCCCCTCCAGTCAAACGATAGCCGAATGGCAGCCCACTTTCATGCTAATCCCAGCAAAATCCCCTCCAACTTTCAGCCACTGGCTTTCTCCTTGGTGTGCATTTTCTTCACTCTAACTCCACCCTTTCACTGAATTACAGGGTCTGACCAGGAGATGACGCTTCTCTTTAGGGTCTAAATGTCCAAAAATCATGACAGAAAAAATATTTTAGTACAAAGTTAAAAAGGAATTGGAGAGGACCAGCCAAGGGCCCATCAAGGAAAGTGGGGAAATTTTGAATGGCTACTACTGTATAATCCCATCGCCATGGTCGCAGCTAGATGCCTAATAATCTCCTTAATTAATTTTAAACCACACTTTTACAAAGTGCAGTGCAAACAGCTGCAGCTCAAACATTAAATGGCTTTGCGTACACCGCTGTGGATTCATCTTCGCTAGTATTTGGAAATTTCCATTTCTGGTGGATGGATTGGGCATCTAAGCTAGGAATCGAAAATAAAAAAAAATGTTTAATTTCAGGAGAAATAAAAGGCTGGAACCAGTTCCAGATGATTATCGATCCTAAATGTCCAATACTACCCATGTTTTATCATACCTTTTTTTTTATCTGAGGGTTATGATTATCATTTCAATTTTCTTACGCAACAAAGAAAGGCTGCTTCTACTAGTTGGTACCTTCTGTGTGTGATGGTTCTCACCTTAAAGCCAAGTTTCTGGAGACAGCGAGCTAACCTGCGAGCACCAAGCTTTGCCTCTTCCTCACTAGATAAGAAAGCAGAGAGGAGGAGTTTTAGAAAGCATCAAATACAAAAGAAGTAACCCTGTAGAAGATTAAAAAATTATAAATCCATTTACCAGCTTTCCACAAACAGTATGAGAAACTGTACCTATACTCTCCTTTTATCAAGGAAGACCGAATTTTAGATTTTGATATTATTTCGGATAAAAAATTAGGTATGGACACTACTGTGAAATCTCACTGCAAGTAAAAATAACAGTATTTATAGATTCTCCAAAAAAAAAATTAAACATAGAGGTTATGCTTCCTTTTGCGCCTAAAATGATCTACCAAATAGGTAGATATCCAATTTTAGCATCAGTGTTATTACCCAAAACACATGGACCAACAACAAGATAGAATTCAACATTGGTTAAAGAAAAACAACAAATATGAGTCCAGTTTTACTTGTTTAACCAGTGAGTCAGAAATGTGACCAAAAACATCTGAAACAGACATTAATGTAGATATAATCAATCCTTCCTAGTTTTTACAGACAAAATGAAATCCAGCACACCTTCGCTGCTAATTGTGGGAATCAATCCTAAAGAGCATGTCAGCAGTGCCTTACATTTCACACAGCTGGAGAAACCTAGTCTTTTGACACTTTCTACTGTTGAACCCTTATTATCATGGCTGACAGGTTCTTTGCATGTTTTCACTGTTTGCTTTTGTTTTGTTTTTCTTTGTCAATTTATCTTTGGCAATGAACTCCCAGTTTTTAAGGTTGGAAAGCTTCATTGCGATATTTTTTGACTCAGATTCAGGTAAGGTGGAGCCCCTGCAAAACGGTCTTGTAACTTCTTCAAAACGTCTTCAAACTTGGAAACAAAGTCCAGTAGATTGTTTTTTTGTTTTGTTTTTTTGTTTTACTTTTTTGGGAATACCTTGTATTTTCTTTATCTTTAGCAATAGTTTTGCCCACCTTCTGAATTCATTCTTTTAACATACTCTTTGAAAGTCTATTCATAAAATATCGTGTTTTAAAATTACAGTATTTTTCCGTCATTTATTCAATAACAAGCCTCCCAAATACAATACAATCCAGTAGCAAAAAATCCAAGCTCATCCTAAAAATTTTAAATAATAAAAGATGGTCCATCTTTAATAATGCAAATTTAAAACGTTTTGATTGAAGTAATTTTTTTAAGGCATCTCTCAGAATATACAGGTGCTGGTCATAAAATTAGAATATCATGAAAAAGTAGATTGATTTCAGTAATTCCATTTAAAAAGTGAAACTTGTATATTATATTCATACATTACATACAAACTCATATATTTCAGATGTTTATTTTGTTTAATTTTGATGATTACAAATGACAACAAATGAAAATCTCAAATTCATCATATCAGAAAATTAGAATATTACTGAAGACCAATAAAAACAAAGGATTTATAGAAATGTTGGCCAACTGAAAAGTATGAACATGAAAAGTATGAGCATGTACAGCACTCAGTATTTAGTTGGGCCTCCTTTGGCCTGTATTACTGCAGCAATGCGGCGTGGCATGGAGTCGATCAGTCTGTGGCACTGCTCAGGTGTTATGATAGCCCAGGTTGCTCTAATAGTGGCTTTTAGCTCTTCTGAATTGTTGGGTCTGGTGTATTGCATCTTCTTCTTCACAATACCCCATAGATTTTCTATGGGGTTAAGGTCAGGAGAGTTTGCTGGCCAATTAAGAACAGGGATACCATGGTCCTTCAACCAGGTACTGGTAGCTTTGGCACTGTGTGCAGGTGCCAAGTCCTGTTGGAAAATGAAATCTGCATCTCCAAAAAGTTGGTCAGCTGCAGGAAGCATGAAGTGCTCTAAAACTTCCTGGTATGTGGCTGCGTTGACCCTGGACCTCAGAAAACACAATGGACCAACACCAGCAGATGACATGGCACCCCAAACCATCACTGACTGTGGAAACTTTACACTGGACTTCAAGCAACGTGGATGAAGTGCCTCTCTTCTTTTCCTCCAGACTCTGGGACCTTGATTTCCAAAGGAAATGCAAAATTTACTTTCATCAGAGAACATGACTTTGGACCACTCACCAGCAGTCCAGTCCTGTTTCTCTTTAGCCCAGGCAAGACGCTTCTGACGCTGTCTGTGGTTCAAGAGTGGCTTGACACAAGGAATGCGACAGCAGAAACCCATGTCTTTCATACGTCTGTGTGTGGTGGTTCTTGAAGCACTCACTCCAGCTGCAGTCCACTCTTTGTGAATCTCCCCCACATTTTTGAATGGGTTTTGTTTCACAATCCTCTCCAGGGTGCGGTTATCTCTCTTGCTTGTACACTTTTTTCGACCACATCTTTTCCTTCCCTTCGCCTCTCTATTAATGTGCTTGGACACTGAGCTCTGTGAACAGCCAGCCTCTTTAGCGATGACCTTTTGTGTCTTGCCCTCCTTGTGCAAGGTGTCGATGGTCGTCTTTTGGACAACTGTCAAGTCAGCAGTCTTCCCCATGATTGTGTAGCCTATAGAACTAGACTGAAAGACCATTTAAAGGCTTTTGCAGGTGGTTTGAGTTAATTAGCTGATTAGAGTGTGGCACCAGGGGCCATCAATTTTGAACCTTTTCACAATATTCTAATTTTCTGATATGATGAATTTGAGATTTTCATTTGTTGTCATTTGTAATCATCAAAATTAAACAAAATAAACATCTGAAATATATGAGTTTGTATGTAATGTATGAATATAATATACAAGTTTCACTTTTTAAATGGAATTACTGAAATCAATCTACTTTTTCATGATATTCTAATTTTATGACCAGCACCTGTATGATTATCACCCCTTAGAGGAAGAAGCTGAGGCTTTATTCAATAATGATCTACAGTGAGTCTCATGATAACGCCACTGGAGTATTAGAAACAGATCAGCAACATTTACTATTATTGTAGCAACTAAGTGGCAGCACAAGTGCTTAGCTTTTCAGGTAAAAGAAAAATGCCCTGCTTGTGATTACAGTGTTAGTTCTGACCAGATGCCAACTTCTACATGTACGTAGCAATACTTTCTATGAGGTCTGCTCACCTAGTTGCTCCAGTGCAGATTATTTTCCCTGAGGACCAAATTGAAGCGGTTATCTTGGGCTTCCGTAGTTTCATCAGCACTTTCTAAAAAACAAACATTTGAAAACCTTTTAAAGATCCAGCATTGTGCTTTTTTTTCCCATTTCTTCCTATTGTGAGGATATGGTTCCTCTTGGTTAAGTTCCCCTTACCCCCATTTCTGGCTTATAGATGACGTTGGTTCCTTCTAAAGCAATTTTGCGAAGGTTGAGGTGACATCTGGTCCTGAAAGTTGCCACAACATTCGTAACAATGATGTCCAGTGCTTCATCGTTCTTGGAATCCATTGGAAAGTGTTTAGAGGCCCTTTCTTCTTACTCTTCCCTCACCATAACTTTAAGGAATGATGGGGAGAAGAGACTAAACGGAGAAAAAAAAAAGAAATGTTAAGCTTTTGAAAATCAATTTTCTATTTCAATTGAAATAATATTTGTCTGCATTTGATTGCAGCGAAATTTTTCGAATCCATTTTTTTCTCAATTTTCAAATCATATCATATTACCTTCATAGCTCTTATACATTAAATATCTGATTTTATTTTAATGGCATTCTTTACGTGCAGTACAACGAGAGCTTAGAGCAAGGGTTGACCGACTTGTCTTAAAGAGCAAGCGGATTTCTGGAAAGATCTCACATTCATAATAAGTTTAAGTACAGATACATGTGTTTAAGAAAAAAAACGACTTTGGAAAAAGTAAAAGTACTGATTGAACTAATTTACTTAAGAAAATGTAAAACAAGTAAAGCCTCTACAACATACTTTAATATTAAAGCAAAATTAAGTTTATCGTGTTTCACAGAGTAAAAATGCAAAAATTATCCTTGTAAAACAGTTCTATGAACAGAAAATATGATAATTTTCCTTATTAGCTGATAGCGTTGGTAGAGAAACCCTAAATATTGACTCTGTCTATTTTGGTTCTAAATTTAAATTTTAGACAGGATTACATGGAACGAACTGAATGGAAGTCATGCATAAACAACTGAATACTTTTAGAGTTTACAACATTACAGTGGCAAACAGAATTGAAATAGTACTCGAAAGATAATCAGCATGTAGATATAAAATCTAATTAAAAGGGAATAGATGGGGAATGTCTTGCTTCTCAGAATCTGATCCAATAGCAGCAATGTTTTCTGGCCCCCTTGTATTCATCCATGTCCATTTCTATAAACTAGCAGTGCTTAAACTGCACGTTTTAACCAAATCGTAATTTAACCCATGGTGCAATAATTTGTTACCCATCGAAGCGCTCTGTTTAAAGCAGGGCCAATACAATTATTTGGATTTAAAATAATTAATAGATTACTGAAATAATTGTCAACCAATTTGTGATCGATTATCCATTAACTGTAGAAAAGTGAGACTAAAACAAACCATAAGCACCATTAGCAAACATACCCTGTCAGAGCAGTAACTATACCCAAATTACAAAGTAATATATATATTTTGCATTCAAGTGGAAAAATGTCAATGCACTAATTTCAAACCATTGAAGTTGCATAGTTTTCACCTCAGCTGGTTTGAATTTTTAATTAAAATCTATTACTATCCAATTATCAGTTGAATAATTAAAAAAATGATCAAAAGATGAACCGATTAGCAAAAAAGTGGTTAGTTGCAGCCCTAGTTGAAAGTTTGTAACTCTTAATCAATTCTTCAGATCAATTTAGGCTGTAAGCATTGACTTTAACTAACAGAGACGTAAGAAACTTGCATCAAATAATGCACTTGTTTCAGAATTTTCCATTCATCAATACACTTATCTATTCATCACTCGGCCCTCAACCTATCTGCCGCTAACCATCAATTAAAGCTCCAACTACTTATTCACAACATCTCTTATGATACATCAACTTCATTCACTCTTTCCTCTATGCTATACTTGTCCTTACATTCATTATTAAATAGCCGTTCTAAGAAAGCCTATCCCTTAATAACACTTCCAATCATCTACCCAAAAAAATATTTATCAGGCATCCTTCTGTTCTTTAGATCAGCCAAGAAACCCATTTCCCCATTAATCATCTAATCATAGACTGCAATTCTAAATATATTATATGCCCCCAACTTCATATTTATATTTTGTTCATCTGTTTCTGTCTTAGTCACTAAAATAATATGCTGCAGTCATTTTGCACATCTCTGGTGTTGCTGCTATTTTCACATATAGCTGTATATTGATTATTTATTCTTCAGATGACTGTAGAGTGTTTATATTTGTAAAAGCACTGTACAGTACAGTCTTCTGTTTGTTTGTTTTTTAAATATGCCACTTATTCTTATATTTGTAAGGTCCACAATTCCCCCTAGTCTGGGGCAATAAAGGATTTTCTATTCTATCTGGTCAGGGGTGTTTTGGTTTTGAAGTAACGGGGTCAGGTGGATTTTCAGTTTTATGAAAAGGCTTCGTTGTGCAGTTTAGGATTTTAATAAACTCCAAAAACAGAGGGCTTACAAGTTTTACATTTGCACGTGGAAGACAAATCTACAGCAATCAAAAATCTGAAGAAATTGTGTCAGGGAAAATCTAAACTTCAATAAGCTAAGTGCCTGAAGCTGAGTTACCTAAACCTTTAGACATGAACTTATCAGATTCATATTACACACAAATCGGGAAAGAATCAAGCTAATCAGTTTAGAAATACGCAGTTAAATGGTATACTGGGAATGAACCGATTTTGCCAAATATCAGCTTTTTATCAACACAGTTTAGCCCCCGGCTGCTAGCTATAAACAAAACACCGTAGTAATACGTCTATCAACGTAAAACCTCACTAGAATAACCGAGTTTACACCAATTAAATTCTAGAGTTTGAACCATCCAGCTACTGAAGTGAAACCAGCTAATTTTGTTGTTAGGAAAGCTATAACAAAGAAGAGTGCCACAGGCTGCAATGAATGGAAAGTTGTTAGCAACGAAAACTAGCTAACCAGGCTAAGTGCTGAACGAAGACTAGCTTGTTTATTTAATGCGATTTCCGCGTATTAAGACAGAGATAAATATTTTTTGAGGTGTTGCAATTATTATAGCTACCTCATCTGCAATCCCTCTGCAGTTACAGACTTAAATAAAGTCAACCAATGGATAAAAAAAGTAGCTAAACCAGGAAAACATGCGAGTTTCCGTTTAAAGTTTTCACAATAAAAGATGTTAGGAGTAACGATTGTGTGACGTCCCATCCGGGAAAGGTCTTTCAAAATAAAACAATTAAACAACATTGACATGGTCATTTATTTATTTATTTTTACAAATAAAAGACAAAATCTCGTTTTGCTCGTAAATAGTAAACAATTTAAATCGTAATAATTCCGACCTCATTAAAACCTTTCAAAAGCTAAGAAATAAAATAGAATTGCACCTCTTGATTTCATATTACTGGAAAGAAAATTCCTTCCTCCGATTATCAGGAAGTTGTAATGTAGTATTTGGAAATGTAGTATTTAGAAATGTGCTTATTAACAAAAGAAAATTTTACTCATACATCTAAAGATGGCCATATTTAATAAATGTATGAAAAAAATATCCTGAAATATTATCATAGTTATAACAAAAGAATAAGAGCATATTGTTAGTTTGTTTGAAAAATGTGTTTAACAAAAGATATTAATCAAGTATCATCAAAATAAATAGCAAGCTGCATTTTCAATATATTTTTTGGCAATTTTAAACATTTTTAACACTCTTACTGAAATATCTGCAAAGTTTTCATGAGCTAACTAAGAAAATTTCTTTAATTGATTTAAGTCATGACTATTTTGCATTAGTAACACTTAACTTGCTTAAATAGGTTAAGGTACCAAAATGACATAAAGCTTCACTGATGAGGCAAACCTCGGAAATTGCATCATGATGTCAAAACCACACAGTTTGACATGAAGAACAACACGATAATGATGGTAAAACAAATATCTAACTAGCTTGTTCATAAACTAAGAACTGCTTTTGTGGCGGGATGTGTTTATTCCTCCAGCCTATGTACCATCACCACAGCATTTTCGGTTATCTTCCATATGATAACACATTTAAGATTTTTGTCAGAAATGATCTTCTGAGGCTAAATAAAAACCAAAAACACTCAAAGTTTCAAAGATCAATTCGCGTAACACAAAAATATTCTAATCAGATACCAATAGGCTCTTAGCACAACCTTATTTTGAGAGGACACTTCCAGCACAGCACATACAGGTGCTGGTCATAAAATTAGAATATCATGAAAAAGTAGATTGATTTCAGTAATTCCATTTAAAAAGTGAAACTTGTATATTATATTCATACATTACATACAAACTCATATATTTCAGATGTTTATTTTGTTTAATTTTGATGATTACAAATGACAACAAATGAAAATCTCAAATTCATCATATCAGAAAATTAGAATATTGTGAAAAGGTTCAAAATTGATGGCCCCTGGTGCCACACTCTAATCAGCTAATTAACTCAAACCACCTGCAAAAGCCTTTAAATGGTCTTTCAGTCTAGTTCTATAGGCTACACAATCATGGGGAAGACTGCTGACTTGACAGTTGTCCAAAAGACGACCATCGACACCTTGCACAAGGAGGGCAAGACACAAAAGGTCATCGCTAAAGAGGCTGGCTGTTCACAGAGCTCAGTGTCCAAGCACATTAATAGAGAGGCGAAGGGAAGGAAAAGATGTGGTCGAAAAAAGTGTACAAGCAAGAGAGATAACCGCACCCTGGAGAGGATTGTGAAACAAAACCCATTCAAAAATGTGGGGGAGATTCACAAAGAGTGGACTGCAGCTGGAGTGAGTGCTTCAAGAACCACCACACACAGACGTATGAAAGACATGGGTTTCTGCTGTCACATTCCTTGTGTCAAGCCACTCTTGAACCACAGACAGCGTCAGAAGCGTCTTGCCTGGGCTAAAGAGAAACAGGACTGGACTGCTGGTGAGTGGTCCAAAGTCATGTTCTCTGATGAAAGTAAATTTTGCATTTCCTTTGGAAATCAAGGTCCCAGAGTCTGGAGGAAAAGAAGAGAGGCACTTCATCCACGTTGCTTGAAGTCCAGTGTAAAGTTTCCACAGTCAGTGATGGTTTGGGGTGCCATGTCATCTGCTGGTGTTGGTCCATTGTGTTTTCTGAGGTCCAGGGTCAACGCAGCCACATACCAGGAAGTTTTAGAGCACTTCATGCTTCCTGCAGCTGACCAACTTTTTGGAGATGCAGATGTCATTTTCCAACAGGACTTGGCACCTGCACACAGTGCCAAAGCTACCAGTACCTGGTTGAAGGACCATGGTATCCCTGTTCTTAATTGGCCAGCAAACTCTCCTGACCTTAACCCCATAGAAAATCTATGGGGTATTGTGAAGAAGAAGATGCAATACACCAGACCCAACAATTCAGAAGAGCTAAAAGCCACTATTAGAGCAACCTGGGCTATCATAACACCTGAGCAGTGCCACAGACGGATCGACTCCATGCCACGCCGCATTGCTGCAGTAATACAGGCCAAAGGAGGCCCAACTAAATACTGAGTGCTGTACATGCTCATACTTTTCATCTTCATACTTTTCAGTTGGCCAACATTTCTATAAATCCTTTGTTTTTATTGGTCTTCAGTAATATTCTAATTTTCTGATATGATGAATTTGAGATTTTCATTTGTTGTCATTTGTAATCATCAAAATTAAACAAAATAAACATCTGAAATATATGAGTTTGTATGTAATGTATGAATATAATATACAAGTTTCACTTTTTAAATGGAATTACTGAAATCAATCTACTTTTTCATGATATTCTAATTTTATGACCAGCACCTGTAAAAATGATTTCAGATTCAACAAGGGCAGATTTTCACAAATTTGTTCAAAAGCAGACACTGCTGATGTATTTGCAATTACAGTGTAAGATATGTTAAAGCAGATGTAATTTAAATTGCAAATAAAATTAGCCTCCTGGATGGATGGTTAAATTACAGACTTCTAGCCAACAGGCTTTGTGCCATTTGTGTAAATTGATATATTTGTGAGGGTGACACTCAAGCTGCATTTATATTAAGCCTTTTTAAGTCAGAGGGCTCCAAAGAACTTTACACTACATTTTATTTATTCAGTTTTTCCATTCCATTTACTGCATTATCATTTATGCATACATTCACACACTGATGGAAGGTGGTAAGGGAGATTGTAGCCCAAGCTGGGGAAGTGAGGCAGCCATAAAAGGCACCATTGAAGGCCTCTGCACTCCATCAATAGGCAGATTATAATCCAGGTGAAGTTCTAACCCAACAACCCAACAACATTGGGGTTACTATCTGCATCAATATGACTTTTTGTGATCCTATTTGGAAATGTTCTGTCATGAAACTGAAAAAATAAACCTATAGATGCATTTATGTGAATGTGAATTATTGACTTATAAAGAAACAGAAAACCCCTTTATTTTCCCACAACGGGGAAATTCTAATAGATTAGTAAAAAAGTTGTGTTATTCAAAGTGCAGTTGGGTCCAGTTTCAAACTCTTAAGAAATGCAACAGTTTTCTTTGCCAGCTACCTTTGATTTGTAAAATAACATTTAAAAAATATATTTTTTGAACTGTGTGTATCTTGTGCCCCCATGTGGCGCTGTATAGGTATAAAAAGCTGCATTTTTTTTTTCTTTGCAAACTCAAGACAAAAAGGCCACACCTGCAAAAAATAGCTAATGAAATAACCACTAAACTTAATCTTACTGATATCTGAAACTTTTAAAGTGACAAAAAATGCTTCCAAGTTAGGATTAAAACTTTTTATATATAAATATCATAATTTAATACAGTTTTCACCCAACCATATGTAAACCTTTAGATATTTTCGAGAGGAATAACATTTAAAACAACAGGATTAGCGAATTCTCCAAGGGAAATTAGAACATCTGCTCAGTAAACGCTCCACTGGGAATTTTAAGACAGCTACAAAAGGAACAGGAGTAAAGTTAAGAGGCAGCTGGGAATGTTTGTGATATCAGCAAGAGAATAAGCAGATACTCCTGTGGTCCATGAATGAATTTAGTCAATGAATGTCATCCTATGAGACCTGCATAGTGTAATAATCCACAGCGATCTTTAAGCAGGAAGAATGAGACTTTGTGACTTTTTTTCCCCCAAATCGAAATGTTTTCATAGCAGTCACATTGCAATGCATCAGTTAGAACATCTAACTGATAAGAACGTCCTCTCAAAAAGATAAAGCTGTTTAAACCAAACTCAGGCCTGAATGCTTATGTGCGCATTCAAACCAGTGTTTGTTTACATGTGCGTTGATATGCTTGACGTATTTCTTGCTTATGAAGATACTGAATGCTGCAATCCCCTCTTCTTCTCAGATCCCTGCACACACTTCTCCCGCCTGGCCCCGTCCCAAGCAAAACAGAAAAATAACTTCATTATGATTCAGTGGAGCTGTGATTGTTTTACCTCCCTGGTTACCGAATTGTCTCTTTCCTCCTCTCCTTATATACTTGTGGGGTTTTCTTCTTGCTGAAATGGATCCTTTTAGTTCACATCCACTCTGCCCAAGAGCCACGTTACTCTTGTCCCAAGATGTTTACAATAAAAGTTTAGATTTAGAGTTGGTTAGAAAGTCGGAGCACTCACATTAAAGTCTGTGTGTGTGTGTTGGGAGATAGCTGACGCAGGGTGCAGGAGTGTGTTTACAGTTTGTTTGTCAGAATATTTCTAGTACAGCTTCTTCCCAGGAGAACAATGCTCTTATTCTCATTAGGTCATAACATACAGTATGTAAACCCCCAGATGCAAGCACTTACAACTTAAGAGATCCAAATATGTTCATGTGTAAACAGTCGGTATATCTCTTTTGACTGTGTCAAAAAGACAAAACAATGACAAGTGAGGAAGTGATGTTCTTTATATTCATTGGGATTGTATGTATAAAAGCCTAAAAAAATTTAACAGGGAAAGCACTGATAAACCACCCAAAAACAACCCTAAAAAACACTTTTAGATTTATAGAGATGTAAAAATTTGTTGTTTTTTTACTGTTTATGTAGCTAAAAAATACTAGAAATACATTTCAATCTTGTCTTGTATAATGTAGCTTTTTAAACAATAACAAAACACAAAATAAATTTATTAAAATTAAGTAAAAAATGATACAACACTGAGGAATCCACGTCGCCTTTGCAGAAA